AAATTTTTTTTTTTTTCAAAAAAAAAAAGAAATTAATTTTTTCTAAAAAAACAGAAATTTTTGAAAATTCTCTAGAAGTACTTTTGTAAATAAATAAAAGCTCAGAAATTCAAAACAATTTTCTTAAAGAAGTCCCTCTTTCGAAAATTAAGAGGTTACATCCAAAATCCAAAAATATTTTCTTTTTTCCTTAGAAAAAAGAGAAAACAAATGAAAAACTCAAACAAAAAGTATTTTCTTTTTACTTTTAAAATTCCCAAAGTTCAAATCAATTCCCAATCTGCCCGAACTACGCTGGTTTGATTCTCACCGGATGTGAGATACGTAGGCAACCCTCATCGGGTCCAACCACTCTTTTGCAAAAATAGCCAAAAATACCAAAATTTTAATTTTTGTCTACAATAAGTCGGGTGATGCTATTCTTGTTTTAAAATAAGCCGAATGTCCCCAAAAGGGCGCCGGAAGGCTGTTTTTGCAAGAACAGCCACCTTGAGTCATTTTTAAAAGGGTTTGCGGACACAGCCTTAAAATCTTGCTCCCAGAAGTGCTGAAAGGCCGTATCTGCAAAACCAAATCCTTGTTTTCTAGATAAAGAAAAGTTTGCAAAAATAGCCACTTTTTCCTTTTAGGTCAGAATGAGTCATTAAAATACTCCTTAGCTGTCTTTCTTTCGTAAATAAAAATAAAGAAAAATACAAAATTTTGAAAAATTGAGTCCGAAAAATATTTTTGCTCAAAAATCCAAAACATTTTCCCTATTCCGAAAATTAAGAGGCAACTTTCAAAATCAAAAAAAAAATATTTTTCTTTCGTGTTAGAAAAAGAGAAAATAAATGAAAATTCAAACAGAAATATTTCTTTCTACTTCTAAAATTTCCAAAGTTCCAATAAAAAGAAAAGGAATTTTTTTTAGAAGTCTTTCTTTCAAAAAATAAAAAGAAACATCAAAATCAAAAATATTTTCCTTTTTCCTTCTAAAGCATTTCTTTCAAAAATTCAAAAAAAGAGTTAGTTTCTTTACCTTATTTGCAAGAACTACGCTTGGTCTGATTCATGCGGGGTCATGATACGTAGGCAATCTCCATAGGATTCGACCGTAACCCTAAGAAAAGAAAAAAAAAAGAAGAAAAATACGAGGGAAGGAAATAAAAGAAAAACAAGAGAGAAAGAAACGCAAAAAGAGAAAATAAGGAATCGAGAGAAAACCATGGCAAAAGAAAAGGGAAAAGCAGGAAATGAAAAACAGAGGAGAAAACCATGGCAGAAGATGACACACAACTGAGTAGAGAATTGTAAGCATCACTAGAAGAACGAACCATAAATTCTGGTAATTACACTTTTTAAATACTTAAGACACCTTTTATTTTTTATATTTTTTTCATAAGCTAGTCTTTTTTTTAAAATTTTTTTTTTGTTTAAACAGAGGCAAATGAAGAACTATCACAACCAAAGAAAAAAAAGAAATTTAAGCAATGATGAACGAATAGCTGTGTATGAGATGTTACTACATAAAAGTTTCAATGGAAATTTGAGGCATGGAGTGACAAAGATGGTGGCAACAAAATTCTCAACTAGTATAAGAACAGTTCTCAATTACTGAAGTAGTTGTTCTCGATTTTTCAGTTTCTGCTATTTAATTTTAGTAATTTAATGTAAGGAGTAAGAATTTTTTTTAGGGATATGCACATAAGGGTAGTTTTGTAGAAATAAATTAAATTTTTTCTTGATTAAATAAATGGATACTTATTTTGGACTAAAATAAAAAAGCAAATTTATTAGAATCATATTGGGAAATAATTGTGCCACGCTAAAACGTCTGGGTGGTGTAGTCGGTTATCACGCTAGTCTCACACACTAGAGGTCCCCAGTTCAAACGTGGGCTCAGACATCGTTATTACCTTATGAAGCTTTCTTCTTTTGTTCTCTTTCTCCTCCTGTTTTTCCCACAGATTATCTATTCACTTTTACTTATTTTGCCAGATTCTGACACCCATTTAGTAAGGATTTCAAAAGGACGCCCACAGTTCTCCAAAATGTTCACTTACGTGGAAATGCAGAGTGTATATTGGTATTTTAATTTGAAGACAATTGAACTTGAGCACTTGTACCATAACCACCACATCATGGGACACCTATGGTTAGATTGGATAAGTTTAATATATAAATTTTACTAGTATAGTGGATTTTTATGTTTATAAATAGTTTTTGTTGAAAAATAAAAATAAATAAATTTAATTGAAAACAAACTTGTTAAGAGATTATTGTACACAACACAATTTCCAAATCGAATGAACAAATTAATGTTGAAATTTCAAAATGATAATAAAATTTCTGTCTTTTTTCCTTTCCTTTTATGGCAATATTTTCACACGAGTGTCTTGCACGACGACGTTTTTGGGTCCCACATAGCAGGAAGCAGATATTTACGCCCATTCACTCCAGGCGCATTATAGCTAGCACCCGTCTTTTTATCCAGCAAAACCATACCCGGAAATCCAGGAAAAGCACCCGACCCGAATATCCCCGTGCAAGCAGACACAGATTCTAAAGGCGCGTTAGCTGGGCCCTGAAAATACCCGCCATCAAACGGATTCGTAACGGTTCCCGCCAAAACAGTCGCTAAACTGATAACCATTCCGTCAACTCCGATGTCTCCGTTTGGTGAACCTAACGGCGTAGTCTGTGGCCCGACAATCGGCTTTTGAAATGGCCACGCGCACTGACCGGGACATTGATTCGCGGAGTTACCCACCCAAGCATACGCAAATTTACTCCCTTTTTTCTTACCATGAGTTGACCCGTGCATGCCACACCTATTCATACAGAAGTCTTCCACCGCCACGTCCGCCGCCGTCAACACGACGGCGATGGAGTTGGCCTGAGTTACCTTAGATGCCAAAATTTCAAGTTGAGGGTCTTTTAACAATTTTCCGATGGAGTATTTTTCGTCAAATACTTGTTTTCCTAGAGTAATAACGGAAGGGCCACCTTTGTATGCTTCGGTGGTGCGCCACCATGATGCGGCGGAAGGCGGCGGTTGGATATTCTTGTTCTTGGGGCTAAGGGATTGGATGAAGTCGACGATGATTGAACGTTGAGCAGGAGTGAATTTTCCATACCATATAAGATTAACAGTGACATTTCCCTTTAGAAGAGCACCTTTATGGTATTTTAGGACAAGGGGTTTTTCTTTAACTAGTGCAAGTATTCTTGAATTGGCTAAACAAGGATTAGGAACAAGAGCGAATAGCGAGAATAGTAAGAGAAAGGTGGTGATCATAGGGTTAGAGAATCCCATTTGATAAGATTGTAAAGAAATCGGAGTGTGAGTTGTTTTGTCTTGTGTTTTGAAAGTGAGTTTGACAATTGAATTACGTCTTTATATATATGAGGCTGCTGAGGGTATATGAAGAGCTGTGAAGGTGCTAAGAAAGTAGATTAATTTAAAGAAAAAAGAAAAGGAATGGTTTGGTTTGGCTTTGTTTGTGATGAGCATGTTGCGGGTCTGAAAGTATGAAAGAATGACGTTTCTTCAGTTGACCTAAATAATAATGGCACTTTTTAGGTTAAAACCACGGGATGGTAGCTAGTATTCTAAATACAGTAGCTGGTTATTGGGAGGTTTGTAACAGGTGAAGGTGTTTAGTGGGAAGGGTAGAACATTTTAGACTAGTCTTCCTCATACAGTTACTCTCTTTCTCTTAAATTTTAATCTATGTGAACTTATAATCTTATAATATTAGAATGGAATTTAAAAAAATAAGAAATTTTTTAGACCTTGTGGTTATTAACATATCATAATATTTGTGTGACAATAAAATTTAAAAAACTTATGATTTTAAAATTTATAATATTTGTGTAGCTATAAAACGTTCTTATTAAAGGTAAACTGAAACATTTGAGTTAAATCACTACTAGAATTCCGGAAAAAAGCAACCAAAATTTAGCGACCAAAGTTAGTCTGTCACAGAAAGCGACCAAAGTTGGTCGCTAAATTGGCGAAAATAAAAATATAATTATTTGAAATAAATTAGCGATCAAGGTTGGTCGCTATTTCGTCAAAATGTTGACCGGACTAGTCAGACTTGCTTGGTCAAAGCTATACTGAGATTAGCGACCAACGTTGGTCGCTACAGTGGGACCCACTTATAAAATTTTAATTATTATAATATTATTCAAAAAAAGTTATAAAATATAAATAAATATAATTTAAAATTAGCGACCAAAGTTGGTCGCCAATTAAAGGGTAAGCAGAGAGCGACCAACTTTGGTCGCTAATCTGGGACCCAGTTCTGTGACGACCCAAAGGGTCATCACCTGTTTTCTCATTCATTCCGTGCTTCCGAGGCCTCGAAAACCTCATTCAGGGTTGCCTCGATTTGCGTGCGCAGTTCGGGCGCGTAGCCGGAAAGCTTAAATATGAATTCTGTGTGAAAAATGCTAAATTTTAATATTAATATGAATATATTTGACTTCGGTCAACATTTTGGGTAAACGGACCCGGACCCGTGATTTGACGGTCCCGGAGGGTCCGTAGGAAAATATGGGACTTGGGCGTATGCCCGGAATCGAATTCCGAGGTCCTAAGCCCGAGAAATGAATTTTTGTGTGAAATTATTTTCTGGAAATGATTAAGGAAAATGAAAATGAAATTTGATTAAAAGACTATGGTATCGGGCTCGTATTTTGGTTCCGGCGCCCGGTACAAGTCTTATATATGGTTTAAGGGCTTTCTGTAAAGTTTGGTTGAAAACGGACGTCGTTTTACGTGTTTTGGACTTAAAATGGAAATTTGGAAGAAATTACGAATTTTGAGGTTTAATTCGATGTATATGATGTTATTTTGGCGATTTGATCGCGCGAGTAAGTCCGTAGGATGTTATTGAGGTTGTGCGCATATTTGGTTTGGAGCCCCGAGGGCTCGGGTGAGTTTTGGATAGGCCACGAAGTGCATTTTTGAACTTGGAAATTTTCTGGTGTGATCTGACCTGCAGGCTTCGCATCGCAAATGCGAAGAATCCTTCGCAAATGCGAAGGTGCTCACATTGCACAAGGATCGCAAATGCGATCATAGCACCGCAAATGCGAAAGCTGGGACTTTCGCAAATGCGACGCTTCTGTTCGCAAATGCGAAGTCCCCAAATATGCCAATGGTTCGCAAATGCGAACTTTTGTCCGCAATTCCCGAAGTAGCAGGTCTGCGAACCCCAGTTCGCATTTCCCACATCTGCAACCTGCACTTTTCATACTTAGACGAATTTCAAGTCATTTTTCACCCCACTTTCAAAATACAACTCCTTAGGCGATTTTTCAAGAACAAGTTTCATCCCAAATCATTTGTAAGTCGATTTTTACTTAACTCTTTCAATCATTAACATCATTTAACATGTTTTTAACTTAAAATCAATGATTTTCATGGGAGAAATTGGGGGTTTTGGGTAGAACCTAGGTTTTCTATAAATTGGGGACTTGGACCTCAATTTGAGGTTCGATTTTAAAACAAATTGCATATTTGAGTTCGTGGGGAATGGATAACCGGGTTTTGGTTCGAACCTCGGGTTTTGACCACGTGGGCCCAGGGGCAATTTTGGAATTTTTGGGAAAAACTTTGGAAAATTCATTTTTATGCAATCAAATTGATTCATTTAGTGTTTATTAATGTAATTAAGTAATTTGTGGCTAGATTCGAGCGGATAGGAGGTGGAATTACGAGGTAAAGCCATAGTTGAGGCTTGAGTTGAGTTCAAGGCATCGAGGTAAGTGTTTGGTTTAACCCTAGCTTGAAGGAATAGGAGTTGAGTCTTATTTGTAACTTGCTAATTGTCGAGTACGATGTATAGGCATGGTGACGAGTATCTATGCATTGGTGTCTAGCATGACCATGAGTCCTTATTTGCGGATAGTTTGGTTGTTGTTATGCCTTCCATGCTTAAATGATGACTTCTATATATTGTAAAGACCTTGTGAAAGAAATTGTGATCTTGAAACTTCGTGGAGCACTGGCTCGGGTTGAAATACAAATTATGAAGGTATATGAGATAAGTAACTCTTTGGAGCATTGTCTCAAGTGATAATGTGAACTATGAGATGAAAGTGAAAGAAAGAAAAGAGTTCATGATTCATTCCCTTGCCGGGACGTTGTTGGTTATTGATATTGTGCCCTTGTCGGGTTTTTAATTGTTGGTTGTGTTCCCTTGCCGGAATTTTCATTATTGTTTATTTATTCCCTTGCCCTTGTTTGTGATTGTTGATTGGGCGAGGAAGAGTGTTAAAGCACGAAGGGTGATGCCGTGCACTGTTTGTTTATGGTAAGGAAAGAGTGTAAAGCACGAAGGGTGATGCCGTGCGTTGTTTGCTTATTATGAGAAAGAGTGTTAAAGCACGAAGGGTGATGCCGTGCCGCACGATGTACCATTCCGTGCCGATTCTATTGATATATGTGAGGAATGAGAGTAAAAGCACTAAGGGTGATGCCGTGCACATGTTATTGCTTGGTGAGGACGAGAGTAAAAGCACGAAGGGTGATGCCGTGCACTGGTTGAATTCTGTTTCATTACGTACTATTGAGTTGTGCTATATTCCTTTATTATTGGACGACTCTTATTTGGAATTTATTATACTCCCACAGCATGTTTCCCCTCCCATATTATTTATCTGTTTTGTATTTCGATTCTGTTGTGTATATATATATATATATATATATATATATATTATGTGGTAGTCTGGTCTAGCCTCTACTTCGCCGGGGTTAGGCTAGGCACTTACCAGCACATAGGGTCGGTTGTGCTGATGCTACACTCTGTGCATTTTTTTGCACAGGCCCAGGTTTCGAGCAGCAGCAGCAGCATTAGCACGGGAGCAGGCTTTCAGTATCGTGAGACCCGAGGTAGCCTTGCAGGCGTCCGCAGGCCCGGCGTCTCTCTCTTATTCTCTCTTTTAGACTGTTGCCTCTTTGTATTCGAGACAAACAGCTTATGTGTTCTTTCAGACCCTTGTATTTAGAAATTCTTAGCAGTTCGTGAGTATTGTGACACCAGTCTTGGGTAGAGGCTTATATTGACTACTCCGTGTTTTATTCAGTTTCTATAATTAAGACTTCCACTATTAATTAGTTTTGTTGCTTTATATTGTTGTCATAAATTGTTAAAAAGATTTGTTCATTAATGGAAAAGTAATTAAAATGGCTTGCCTAGCTACTACGACTAGGCGCCATCATGACCCCCGAGGGTGGGGAATCCGGGTCGTGACAAGTTGGTATCAGAGCACTAGGTTACATAGGTCTCACAACTCACGGACAAACTTGGTAGATTCTGAGGGATCGTACGGAGGCGTCTGTATTTATCCCTAGAGGCTATAGAGTTAGGAAAAGTTTCACATTTGTTCTTTCTAGTCGTGCAGTTCTGTTTCTCAATGCTAATTGGATTTCCACTCTGTTCTTTCGCAGATGGCGAGAACACGCGCTTCTTCATCTACCGATCAGCAGTTCGAGCCCCAGGCAGCTCCCGCTAGGGGTAGAGGGCGAGGGCGAGGCCGTGCTAGAGGCCGAGGTAGGGGCAGAGCTCAGCCCCAAGCAGCAGCACCAGCGGCGGAGCCTCAGGTTGACTTCGAGGAGGAGGTTCCGGCCCCAGCCGCAACAGTTCCGGTAGGCCCAGCTCACATCCCAGAGGGGTTTATTGCTACCCCAGTTCTTCAGGACGCTTTGGTCCGGTTGGTGGGCCTCATGGAGAGTGTCACTCGAGCAGGATTGCTTCCTGTAGCACCAACCACTTCTCAGGCTGGAGAAGGAGCCCAGACTCCTACTACACGTACTCCAGAGCAGGTAGCTCCCCAGGGTCAGATTCCAGTGGTTTAGCCAGCTATGGCAGTTCAGCCGGGGGTAGTTGCTCAGACCGACGATGGAGTGGCTATGTCCGCAGATGCTTTGTGGAGGCTGGATAGGTTCACCAAGCTCTTCACTACTACATTCAGCGGTGCTTCTTCTGAGGACCCACATGATTTCTTATATAGCTGCCACGAGGTTCTTCGGAACATGGGCATTGTTGAGTCCAATGGAGTTGATTTTGCTGCATTTCGCTATCGGGATCCGCCAAGACTTGGTGGAGAGATTTCTGTTTAGCCAGACCAGCAGGGTCGCCGTCTTTGACTTGGGATCAGTTTTTAGAGTTGTTCTTGGAGAAATTTCTCCCCGTTACTCAGAGAGATGCTTATCGGAGGCAGTTCGAGCGCCTCCAGTAGGGTTCTATGACGGTCTCTCAGTATGAGACTCGGTTTATTGATCTAGCTCGCCATGCTCTAGTCATACTTCCCGCCGAGAGAGAGGGTGAGGAGGTTTATTGATGGTTTGATTCAGCCGATTCGTCTCCAGATGGCTAGGGAGACTGGTACTGAGATCAGCTTTCAGGAGGCGGCCAATGTGGCCCGCCGAGTTGAGATAGTTCTGTCACAGGGGAGTGGTCACGGGGGAGACAAGAGAGCCCGTCATTCCGGCAGATTCAGTGGTACCTCATCTGGAGGTAGAGATTCATATGGTAGAGGCCATCCTCCTAGACCCTTTCAGTCGGCCCTTCAGGTTTCTCACGGTACATCAGGTGGCCGTGGTTCTCAGGCATACTATTCCGATCAGCAGTCGCTCAGTGCACCGCCAGCTCCTATCAGCGCACCGCCACTTTAGAGTTTCCGCGGAGGCCATTCAGGTCGATAGGGACATC